ACTTTAGTAAGCCTTAGTCACTGTGTTCTTGTAACCTTGTGATATGATAGTACTAACTATCTATAATGGGTAATTGATTCCTTCATCATTCTTAATGTATTGATGTCATAGATATGGATTTATTTAATTTAGCAACAATATAGCAGATCACCACAAACAGAATCTTTGACCTGATAAGGGAATTGTTATTTTCACCCCTTCTTTTCTTATTTTTACCCCCTCGATTTGTTTTGGTCTTTTTTGACCTATGGAACTGCGTATTTGATTTCACTTATATTTTGACATTTCGGCGGGACTGCTCTGTCAAAGCATTAATAAATTGTACCTTTTTACTTTCATCCCAATCCCGTTACGTTTGTCTTGACTTTTATTGTTTTAATTTCTTTATCAAACGAAAACACCTCTTACCTTTCTGACGATGATTTGCAGGCGCCCCTTCCCTTTCGAACCAGAAGAAATTTTGAAAGCGTCTACGAAGTAGATGATCTTAACGATGATCACGACAATGATCTCGACGAAAAACTCGAGGGCGAAACCTTCGTCGTTTTGTCTACTTCTGCCCCTTTTCAACTTGAGTTTAGCTCTTGCGAAACTCTGAAAAGTATGTGATCGATCACTGCAAGGACAACGGCTCCCTTGTTTCTTTAAGCCGTTCTCGTTATTACCCCGATCGTCGACTTAAGTCTTTGGATTTCAAGTGCGTTCGCAATGAAAAAAACAGCAGTAAGTCCACCGGTAAAATACTTTCGAAGACAGGACGCATCAATTGCCCTTTCAAGTGGGTGGTCGGTTGCAGTGGGAGAAAAGATCAGGGTGTTTATACTGCAAATTCACCCTGCACTTAAACCATTCTGGACATAATCATGAATCTGCTAATTCTCTCGCTGGTCATTCCACTGCATACTCGATTGAGATAATCACATGAAGGTAATCAAGGATATGACGATTGCTAATAGCTCACCTCAAGATATCTTGATTGACGCTCGCTAAAACCTCCCTGGTGATTACTTCAGACTTATTACGCTTTACAATGCCAGACAGAAGATTCGTGAAGAGTATTTAGATTCTCGCTCTCCTTTGCAAGCTCTCTTGGATCCATTCTCTGAATCCGAGTCTGGATTTATTTACGCGTACAACTCGAATGAAACGGTACCATCAAAAACCTTTTTTTGCGCACTCTCATTCCTTGAAAGTGATTGGGCGTTTTCCTCAAGAGCTTTTGATGGATTGTACTTATAAAACCAACAAATTTGGTATACCATTGTTGCACCTTGTTGGCATGGATTACTTCAATAAGAGATTTTTTGGGTGCGGTGTGTTTTTAAAACACGAAACCCGAGCCAATTATGAGTGGACGGTTTCAACATTACGTATGAAGTTGTTTTGGTGCTATTTAGAGGAGTTCGATACTAGCATTATTCCTATTGACCGTGATTTGGCATTAAAAGGTGCTTTAGAGACAGTTTTTAAATCCAGCACAATTCTTATCTGCCGTTGGCATATCAGCAAGAACGTGTTGGCGAAATGCAAAAAATATTTTTTAAAAAGATGATGACTGGAATACGTTTATGGTCAGATGGAATCGCTGTATGAACAGTTTCAATGAAGAAGAACGGGAGCGAAACGTGAATGTCCTGAGTGATAATTACGGGTTGAACGCAAGATACTTCCCACTGTTTGCGTATCGTGAGTCAACATGGGTGCCGTTGAAAGAACATTTTGCCAACCCTGGGATCAATACGCACCTTTACCTTGGCACCATCAATACATCCAGAGTTGACGGTGCTCATAACAACTTGAAGCGAAGACTGATGGTGTCTACCAGTAATTTACACAAGGTTGCTAATTTGGTGAAGAGCACTATTACAAATCAATTACTTCCGATTTGAGAAAAGAAATATGAAGTATATAAAAAAAACAATGGTACTATAGGTTCGATTATAAGTCCTTGTCACTTTATTTGACTGAAGTTTTAACTACGAAATAATGGGGACTATTTATACTATTTTTAAAGCTGACTGTTATTAGATTTGCTAGTCCATAAATATCATATTTCGAAATGATCTAGTTACCGCTAAAACTTTTACAAATAATACTTCTTCAAACTTATGCTATAAATAAGACTTAATCTTCAACTTGGGCATTTGTTTGCAAGCAACTATGGTTATCTGTTCGATTATAGATCTCTGTCAATATTATTTCGTGGATGGCTAATTGATATGATTCTAAAACTATTATAACAGGGCCTGTTACCGTTGCTGTCTGCCGTTTTGCCTGTTGACATCATTATCTTTTGCGTTCATATATCTGATTGTCTTGTATCGGATCGGCTTTATAGGATATACTTTTTTTAACAACTTAAATACTCAGCAAAGACGAGTCTTAAGCTATTAAAAATATTTCCAACTCTTTATAAACTGTTTTCGACTTTTGAAAACTATTTTTTTATCCTTTTCTTGTAATGCATTTTTTCTAATAGCTTTCGGCTTCGGACAAAATTAATTTTTTTTTCTATAAATTTTGATAGCAGCGTAAGAGATAGTTTTTTTAGCTATCTGTAGAATGTAGCATACTTAAAAGTGTGTCAGGAAAATAATATTTGTTGATAGTGTTATTTTCTTGGTTTTATAGTGAGGAATTATCTTGAATACGTCATCGATTAATGTCGTGAGCCTCGATGTCATCAATTGAGCGATCGGCGTTAGAATAACCTTTTACTAAATTAGACAGATCAAAAGATGACCAACACTAAATTAGTATACTTTAGTGTTAACATTAGTCAAAGAACTAATTTAGTACCATATTCAATACATATAAAAACCAACAAAATAATATAATAAAACAGTATCTTTATTCTCATCAAAAAGTCTCGTTAATAAGTTTAGCTACGAAGGAATTTAACTACAAATTCCTATCTCTATAAACTATCAACCAATCATCTGGTATCACTTTAACGACCGACTTCCCTCTTATTTTATTAATTTTCCCTTTGCTGGATCCGTATTTCAAGTATATTTCACTTCTTTCCATGTTCCAGAAATTTACGATTGACGGCTTTTTGGATTTGTATTTTGTTACCACTACTTTGTCAATTCCTGATTACCCTTTCGAATATATGAATATATACTTGGAATACACAGCTTCAAATATGTATCGTACTGCTTAGTAAATGTTGAGTTTTAAGGAAAAGTAAAATTATAAAAAGACTATCGGAGTAGTTTGAGACTGATTATAAGATTGTCTTTTAATAATAAATGAAATGTACCAGTATTTATATAAAAGACTGTCTTCTGTGTTCATATCTCTAGTGCTATCTCGAAGTTTTCATAGATTAACCAAAAATGTATACGATTATTACATAGTCACTAATTTAGTCTTGTTCCAATATATGTCAAGTCATCTTAACTCTCTTTGCTTTAAACTAAATTTTAAACATTTCTCAGACGTACTAAGTAAGACTTGTGATGTAACATCCTTATAATTCATACTGTAACATTTATTGTAAAGCTTATATCACAAATGTTATCAGCATGGATAAACCTTTGTTAGCTCTAATATGGCTATATCCTTGCTAGGTCACCACACACTCCTCTGTTACTGTAATCATGTTTATTTGTTCATATTTTTGTATTCAAGATCTTATCTATTTTTTTTTCTTTCAATTAAACGTTTTCTACTCTCATCCATTTTATAAGTATGAATACTTATAGATATATAATGTCTGTTTCTTTTGTCCTCCCCATAATAATTATTCTGTTCTGCTCTTGCCTCGATCCATTCCTCACAGGCCCGCTAATTGAACGAGTTATCATGATTAGTTTTGTTTATAGCTCTGTTAAATACACCAATACTGGAACCAGTCTTCAAAGCAGTGATACCATTAGAGCAGCATTGAACTAAACAAAAATGTGGTACACTCAAAACGGGTAACATGTTTTGAATAAAAATGTTTCATGTAAAGGTTATGGAAAAAAAGGGTTTAACATCTTATAAGAGTGTTAATATCTTATATATTTCCTATGAAACGCTGTTAACCGGATCCATAACTTAATAACAACAAAAAACAGAAAAATAAAAATGTTTGGAAAGTCTCCCTGTGAATCAGTATGTGATGTCATTTCACAAAATACGAAAACCTTAAACGGTTACGATACTTTTGAGGGCACTGTATATACGTTTTTGAAATTCAGCACACGTCTAAGGATGTTCTGATATGGTTTGCGACTTATCTTATATGTGAAATTAGCTCAGATAATCCCCATACAAGTTCAGAATGCTTGAACCATTTCGGAACCGTTTCTAATTTCTTAAAATGTATTTTGGTCATTAGTTTAATGTAATCAGGGAACCCTTAAGTATCGGATCTGTAGGGATAACGGACCGGAGTACCCTAAAGTTAACGGATTTTCAGGGATAACGGACCGGAGTACCCTCAAGTCAACGGATTTTCAGGGATAACGGACCGGAGTACCCTAAAGTCAACGGATTTTGAGGGATAACGGACCAGAGTACCCTAAAGTCAACGGATTTTGAGGGATAACGGACCAGAGTACGCAAACGTATGGGATTTTGACGGATAACGGACGGGAATTCTCAGATTTTTATGATTTAGACGGATAACAAACTGGAGTTACCAAAATATAGCCCCAATAAACCAGCGAAACTTAACAGAATATACTATACAACAAGGAACGACATACAACTTTATTTTCAAGGCGTAGTCTACAATTGTAGACAAATAAATGTAGGGAGGGCTTCGGAAACTCTGGCTCGTTATTTGTCCGCATCCGGTACTTTAGAGTATGCTAATTAAAGTTACCGAATGATCACAATCAAGTACGCGAATCTGGTATGAGACGGACTCGGGGATTATGGCGAGGAGTAGCAACAATTGGTTAGAACACTCGAATAAAGTAAATCAACAATGATGAAATACATAATTTTATTAACCAAAGAATGTGTAAATATAAAAGATAAAATAAAAAAAAGTTACTGGAGTCTTAAATCAAACTACAGGTCTGCAAAATTATCTTCCCATTGATGTTACCCACAACATCTATCTCCGAAAGTATTTGGTTTAAAACAACAAGTTTTTGTTGGATATTTCGGTAGATCCACCTAACCACAGGAAGACTTAACCAACGCATGAGAACCGCCAACAGATGTTTCATCAACATCTCCAATTGTTCTTCAAAACTTCGGTGGTATCTGGAGTATGCTTTGGCCGTCATTACTTCTACAGCCAAAATACCTGCCATTCCCAACAACTGAAAGACACGAAACACATGCTCACCACGCGTTCTACAATCCATAAAACCTACTGGATCAGCATCATTAAGCACTATGATCTCCATGCACTCCCATTCATCGAATCCCTTGAATACATGGTATTCCGTAATTAGCAAGTAATGATACAGACAGGTAATGTTTTTAAAAGAATACCCTAATTGAGACCTGGTACTAATTGTTCTTTTCATTTCACGCAAGTCCAAAGTAAATTCGTTCAAGGTTGTTGACTCTAACAATTGGTCAAATGCTTCACCCGTACCAATACGGTGAGTGAGTTGGTCCAACTCGTTGGCCCTATTCGATAATATTGTCAAACCGCCGACATAGTTATTTTTTTCCAATCGTCTGGTCATTCCTCGTCTTCCTTCCACCAAAACAGCATCTATCACATCCTCTACATCCACCGCTGTCTCTTCGTTATCCTCAATGATAATCATTGATTCTGTACTACCTTCCCTATCAGAATCAACAAGATCAATAACATCCTGTCGTTGATCATGATGATCCTCTTCAAGATCAGCAACACCAAATTCTTTACCAGTCAATGCTGGAACCTCTCCAGAAGTAATACTGGTAGTAGCCGTTTGGCTATCTAATCCCCATCTCTTCAGGCACGCGGAACGAAATTCCGGGTCCACCAAAAAATGATTGGGGTCAATCATGTCTTTTACCGGCATCGGCTTTGGGCTGCGCTCGAAGCCAACATTAGTATTCGCACCCAAGTAAACAATGTAATGGCAAATTTGTGTTATTTGTAGACCTATTTTGTCCATGATATTATGGACGTCGTCTATAGTACGACCAGGGTTAACGGCTAAAGCCTTATTAATAATATCGATAATGTTTTGCTTATCAGTTGAGTCCATGATTCTTGGTTCGCAAAAAAAAACAAAAGAAAAGGATAACGGACAACTTTTATCTTCGTCTAAATTATATAGATCCACTAGAACGCACCAATCACACATCCAGAATTTCAAAAAGGAGATTAACAAAAAACCAAAATAAGTCTATTCTCTTTTTTACACGTTATTTCTTCTTTATTTCTATTGCGTTCCATACTATTCCGTCTCTGCATTGTTACTTTTGTTACCACAAAATGTAAGCGATTATACTCTGAAGGCATCGTATCCTGACTGTCTTCCCTTTTTGATGCACGTCTGCTACTACAAGTATATTCTCTCTAGTGTACTTGACGTCGTTCTACTATTGTCAACACTTTCATTTAGTGATCACATCGTGTCGCTCTTACTGTCAGTGCACTTTCAATGTTTCCCATTCCAGTCAAATCGCATCATCCACTTGTCGTTGCTTATCCTCTGTTCGTGATTACTCCATCTAATGGTAAAGACATCAACACCGACTGTCAGGCAACACACCAAACATATACAGTCCTTCTTCCGACAGAAAAAACCGTCGTTAGCCAACCAACCCTTCTTTCATCCATACCCTCTACGCTGTTCTTCATCTATTCACACCAAGATATCCCGTCTATATTAGGTTTTATTTCAATGCACATATTCTTGCCCACTTGTCCATGGTGCATATTCACTTTGAATCATACATCACGACTTTATAATCTGAACTTATACTTTCAGACAACAAGCGTATATCCTCGTGTATTATCCTCTATTTTATCTTTCATCCCCTTTTTCTGCCTCTCGAGCATCTTGAATAGTTTGGTTAGCTTTGTTTTTATTGCAAACATTTAAAAGAAAAAGAGAAAAAGACAAAAAAAAAAGATTCAAAAAAAAAGAAGAATGATGAAAATGTTCAAAAATGATTAAAAAATTAATTTTTTTTCCGCACGACAATATATCGCCACCTTCCCTTTCAAATTCCACCCGTATTAACAACACTCATGTTTTAACGCGTCTTTCTCGACCAATAATTTGTTTTGCGCGCTCTCTTCAATACATCATTTTCAAATTGAGTAAACCCGGTTATATTTGTCATCTTAACAATGTATCACTACCAACAATGGCACTTTTAACCGTTTTTTTCAATTTTACTCTTTAAATCAATTTCTAACCAGGGCGTTTTCAATTGTTTCCGATAGTCTGACGTCTACCCTATTTATCCGTATTTTTGGTTTATTTTTATCACTAAAACTCATCGATTAACATAATTTTTAAAAATCGAAAAAATGCGCGCCCGACAGTTTTGAGCTACGTATAATGGCTGTTTCATGCTAGTGTGTCTGTACCACATACCAAACAAACTCCTTCGTGACATTCATTTGGATTTCAATAATAACAGAACAAAGCTCTTCCGAAGATGTTGCCAAAGGATAATGTCATGAAGCCGTTATGTCATCAATTCAGTAATCGGCGATTGTAACTTCTTCCGCAGTCAATATCTGTCATGATCCTGTTACATCTTATGCCCCAAATATGCAATATGAGTAACCAGCTTTCAGACTCAATATTTATCATTGATCGGTCAGCTCTTTAAATCCTTTGTCATGATCCACATAAGCTATGACTAACTTTTGTCATTGCTTATTCTTTTATTTAATTTCTTGTTTTTCTTTCTCTATAAATATAGCTGATAAATTTCACTTCTCCCAGTTTTCTTTATCAGATATATTTCATAATCATCTTCTCTTTTCTTTCTTCCCTTTTATTCTTAAATAAATAACCTGCTTCAAGAAGCTATTCATTCTCTGTCCTGTCCTGCCTGTCTCATTTCCTCCCTCGTTCCTGACAATATCTCTTCTACCGCGGCATAACCGCAGTAACTGCGGTTATGATCCATAACATATAAATATCCTCTCCAATTCTATTCAATAAACATTATCTTTTATTTTCTTAATCATAAGTCTTAGTTAACTAGGTTATTCCATTTAAATAACATCTTTATTTAAATACTACATAATCTCTCCAGCTAATCACTAGGCTTCCGTTTAACTACCGACTCGTTTCTTATTTTAATAATAGACGACATCTTTCCTCCTCCCATGGTGCCTCTTTTTCAGAGCCAACATACTGCGCATCTCCGCAGATACCTTTCCCAATGACGGTCTTGACTATAATATCCTTTACGTAGTTATCATTGAACAGCATCCTAGTGAGCACATCAGAACCGGGACGAGCTGGCAATGCAGTGGTTCACATGTTATCCTTAGCAGTATCTTCAGCCACGTTATAATAATGAAAAGAAGTAGAAAAAGAGGGAAAATAAAAAATAAATTCTAAAATCGATACTTGAATAGTTTTTTTGTTTTGACAATTTCTGATTTGTGAGACAGGTCTGCAAGACTTTCTCACTTGCTTCGTTCGAATTTTGATCTCAGTGTTACACGTATTGTACTTTGTTTTGAAACTGCTAATTACGCCAATTATACCTAAAATTAGTCGCAATAGACGTAAATGTAATGTACATTTGATACGTTTACTTCTTCCAAAATTAAATGACTTCAAGGACCATAGCATAGAAGAAATGCGCTAAAATTGAATGACATGAACTAAGCAACAAAGAATATTCGCATTTACAATAATAAAAAAAAATCTGTGTTTACTTCCGTAATGCTTTATGTAATGCCGAATGCTGACATACATTTTGGTATAACATGGAAGAGCTAATTAAACAGTCCGTGACTCTTTAAATATTAAAATCACAATCACAATCGTTTAGTCAGGATTATCCACAATGGCATAGTCCATTTTTACAATTAACAAGTACTTTTTACTTTCAATCAGTATATTACGTGCAATGGAATAAATAAAACATGTATATTCTTCCTTGAATATATTACTATTGAAAAAAACTTAATTACTGTTTGTTTATTATCAAAACCCCATGTTCTAGATGGCATATTCAGCATATTAATAAAGAGGTAAACAAAAAACTTCGCATTGTAAAAACTAGTTTCAGCCATTCCATTTGGCGGAAGGAAAAAGAAAATCGGTAAAATACCTTTATCGCTATACAACCGTTCGTCAGAGACCAGGACAAAATCTTAAAATAAGGAAACTGAAATCGAATACTATGTGCTACCCTACAGATTGTTTTGGGATCCAAATATACCTATTTTAATTATACTGAGACACACCCTCAGTTTTTCATAACATTCACAAAATCTAGTTTTTCAATCATAAAACAATGATAAGCACAGTAACTGCTTGTCACAATTATAAATATTTATTATCTACCAATTAATACAGATAGTTAAATTTCTAGAGAGATACTATTCTTTTGGTTTAGTTTTAACTTTTTAATCTAGAATAAAACCACACTGGATTTATGGTTTAACTTATTTTAGTTTTTCTGTGTAAACCAGTATACTTTACCACAAACTATAATTCAATCAGAATCATAGTTGAGTATAAGATCCACCAAAAAATGTAAACACTATCACAGCCGCGGACTCCGTAGTGGAATTCCGCGACACGTTGCGGAAAGAGGCAACATGGTGGATAAAATAAGCAACTATCGGAATATAATATTTTTATTTAATTTTATTTTCCTTTCCTATTTTTTAAATTTTTTTCTTTTACAAGCTTTGCCAAATAACACATTGCTAATTAACACATCAGATTGAATAAAATAGTAATCACTCCATTAGATGAATTGTTGAAGAGAGTTTAATTACAATAAAACTTGTCTACGCAAAACAGAAAAAGATACGACCAACTTACAAATCAGCTAAAGAACCAGCAGAAAGATGATTAACCTTGTCAGTATGTTTAATGTACGGCCAAACGACCTTGAAAAAGTTAGCGGAATCGGAATACCGTACAAGACCAACCACTTGGAGAATGTCTGTAATGGAAATAACAGCGTACTTCTTGTATCTGTCACCCCTGGAATTCCGAGCAACTGTCACAACATTGTGAGCGTCGAATTGCGGCTGCTTCATTACTTCAACGATAGCCAAAAAATTTTCTTCACCTTCTTGCTTGTGTGTAAAGTAGCAGTGAAACACACCGACAAACCAAATGGAAATAGATCTAAATTTTATTCTGTAAGTACTAATAAAGTTTGTCAAATGTCTTTTGCTTACCTGTGACCAGTACTTTTGGGAGCCTTAAACAGGACAATATTGTTTGCTCTTGTCTTTAAGTTTTTCAAGGTTATGTCCATAATCGAAGAAAATACCAAGTCATCGTTCCAAGCTCGACTTGCAATCACAATGGATGACGAGGTCAATTGCTCGATTTCATCCCCAACCTTATGATCTGTCAGGAACGTGGCTAGAAATATATTATAGCAATAATATCAGAAGATGCCTACTAGTTATACGAGACAAAGGAAGAGTGGTTTACAAAGTATTTAATAATAATAATAGATTATACAGGGAAGGGGAAGGATACAAGATAATCGACATGGAACGGGGAAGGCAATGGAAAGGGGGAGTATTTATATCTTTTCAGATAACATGGGTTTGCATTTAAGGATGTCTTGGCTTACTTAATTAGTCTTAGTGTTGGTTTCAGCTTACGTGGCCGAAACCCATGAGTCATGATTACTAATTGCTTGGCGTCGGAGATACTTGGAAACGAGTCATGATTACTAATCTCTTTGAAGCGGAGGTTCGTTGCGTGGATAGTCTTGGAAGGTCCTGGAAGGTTCTGGACACTGGCGTTGTTGAACCTCAGCATGAGATTCCAGAACATTCCAATAGTTGGGGATTCGTGGTCAGGGGCAAAGTGCAAAGTTCGTCATTCATGACATGATCATAATATGATATCAATGCATCAATCACCTTCGATCTCGGGACACCGAAGCATATTCCTTCCGAATCTGATCCAAGCAAAGACTGAGGAATAAACGGACACCAGACTTGGGCACCAGAGGAATGCGAACGGTAGGTGTCTGAACGATCCGTAGATTTAGGGAATTGAATAGACTGCAGACATCTAACCGC